AGCAATTTCAAAAAAAACATCTAAAGGCCCATGTAGGTCTCATGACTAGGTGGTGAAAAGTTTAATACTACGCAGGAGTAGAGAAAGTTTTAGACCTTCTTAAGGCCTTGTTCGATTGAGGTGGATTTGAAGGGGATTGAGAGGAATTAAATCCCAGGATGTCTAAATCTCTCTAAATCCCCTTCAATCATCTTCAATCCCCTCGAGAGAAGGTTTAACTACAACGTTTACAAGGGATTCTCTTCCACATGCTATTGGAGCATGAGAATAAAAGTGGTTCCTGCGTGCTCCTCCATCGCCACCCGTCTCGCCTCGCTCGTGTCGTGTTTCATGAATGAGTCGAGCTCAGACCTATGTCATGCGTGCGGTTATTTGTTGCCGGTTAGGAACAGAAATTTAATTAGTACTCCATTCGTCCTATAATGTAGACGTTTTTTTATACTACACTAGAATCAAAAAACGTCTTACATTATGAGATGGGGGAGTATTTAATTACGATTAGTTATTGAACACGCTACGAGTCCGAGACGTCGGATTGTGAATTGTTGCCGACTCGAGCATGGTCGAACCCACGTCTCCCTACCACGACCCTGATATATTGGAGGCATCAGCAACCCTAGCAGTCACCCAGATCATATCGCATTTGCCTCCTCGCACACAACCCACCGGCATTCCACTCCCTGTTGTTGCTTCCGGTGATCCCATCCCGCCCGCCACGTGCACGGCTATACGGGAGAGTAGTCCTCCAGACCTGTCTCCTTTATGATCCTGCACTAGGAGAAGGGGATTAGGTTTTTGTGGAGCGTCCATACGCGACTGCTTGCCATCGTTCATCTTCAGCCGTTACTTCGATTACGTCATTGTCCTCTTCGACATCATCATAAGGCTGACCGGGTCCGAGAAGAAGGCTGCCAAGGATACTGTCACTGTCGCAACTATGACTTGGCTGATTGAAGGGTATGATCTGTTCATCTCCCTCATGTTTATTTCTGTGTTGGACGTACTAGCTATTTACGTATAGGTATCTGTTATATACGCAACACATGCTTACATGATAAAATATCAATATGAGTTTAACACTGTCAATGACATGTCCATAAGTTATTCATGAATAAATCAATCCGAAAATCATAACTTATCCATCATAGCCATCACCATGTCTCAATGTCAATTTGACACGTTTCCCCTTTTGATCCCTTCCCATCGGGAGTTGTGCTCGATGCTCTAATCCTTTCATTGATTGAAACATTTTCCTAAAAGATTTGATGTTATATCTGAGACTGGATGTTATTATTTTTAGATAGCTATTTGGTTTATAAACATATAACCTTCTTGGCCTTTGTTTTCAGTTGGAAGATTTCTGATAGCTGAGCCTTAGGTACTTTTATCTTTAAAAATAGATAATTGTTTGTGTATTACAGAAATGTATAAATATTCTAATATGTTTGTATGTGATTTACCTATCAGTATTAAAATGATTGTGTAAAAGTGTTGATAAATGCTTATTGGCTTATGTGATTTACCTATCAGTATTAAAATGATTTAATGTTATACTTGGACGTACTAGCTTATTGGCTTACCTCTACCAAAGAAAATATATTTTATTTGGAAGGTCAATAAGTGATTGGCCAGTTGCGGCGGTTTTCAAGGAAAACGGCAGGAAAAACCAAGTACTGATAAAATAAGGGTTTGACAAAGGAGGAGTGGACTGACTCGCAACCTTACATCTTTTTTAAATAGCAAGAGATGTGAAGATTTGTGCGAAATCAGTGTATTGTACTACTGTTTCATATTATATAGAGGTTTTATATATTTTCTAGACATTGTTTCTACACCTCGAGCCCATTTCTGTGCCAAATTACCTCTACCCAGATTCATAACTAGATGAGCTCGTGCTCATCTAAACACCAATTGGTAAGACTAGCTGGAAAACGAGGAAATCTCCAATGCAAATCAAGTTACACTAAAAACTTAACGGCAACCATGTTTCGATGTATTCAAAAAGTATTTAAAAAGATGTTTTAGAATGAAGTTATCCGATAAACATGTGAAGTTAGAAGTTTAAAGTTGTGTGCATTTGGGAGCGAAGAGAAAAAAAATACAAGTTATGCATGAATAGTGGTGTTATATAGGGCTGGACCAAAAGCTGGGAGCTACAAGATTAATGAGCGCTCGATGGTTTGGCTCGTTAAGCTCGTGGCTCGATTCTTAATGAACAAAGTCAATCACTGATTTAAGCTTGTTAAGCTTAACGAATGAGCTAACAAAACGAGCTAACGAGTTTCACGAGCAACACGTTAATACAATACACACCGCATTTTTACCTTATGTGACGACATTTTATAGCACCTCAGACCATCTATTTAATCAAATCAACACAACCTAGACCATATGAGGCATCAAACTAGTTCCTGTAGTCACCATCTTACTTTAGAAAACACACTAGCACACTCATCTCAGTCATCCGGTAGGCCGTAACATAATATTTTTTGTTAACGAGTGCTCATGAGATATCGCGAGCTTAACGAGCTTCAAACGAACAAAGCCGAGCAGAGTTTTTCTGTTCATTAAGCCTAGTCTTAACGTGCCGAGGAGCTCGTTAATCTACCCCTAGCGTTGTACTGTTTATCACTAATCATCCTTGAATCGGGGTCTTCCATACATCTTTGATGACTTCGATCCCGAAGTTTGATTTTTTACGTGCTTGCAGAACATCACCTCCCCAAATTTACTCCTTGTTTTAGAAATTTTAGATTATTTGTAATATAGTTTTGGGAAACGCTTATGTTCGCCCGCCGGATCTACCCGCTCGGGTCAACTGCCTCCATGCCCATCAAATCTTCATTGATCAGACGGTCGGGAGATAACCCCCGCCACTTCACTTTCTTGCAACTTGACCCATGTTTCAGAAGCATTTCTGCACTCGGCCCTTGTTGCAAACCGCGTCTTCGCTGGGCTTTTTTGAAGGAGACGTTGCAAGGCTGCTGTGTAGGTCGCCGCTAGATTTCGTGGAAGGCGCCACCTCACTATGGGTGGGTGTTGCAGGGTGGGTCGCTAGAGTTTCTGCAACAGGTCGGTGGTCGGTGATCGCGGTGCTCCGGCATGTCGTTGGTGTGCTCGTCACCAGAGAGGAGGATGGCGGCGAGGTGACCTAGTCAGAGGTCCAACGCTCGCCGGCAGCGGCGCAATGGCAAGAACGGGTGGCGCTGCTCCTCCCTCACCATTGTACGATGGGAGATCGTGACATACGACGATGGATTTTTTTCCCTACAACATCCTCCCTGTTCCAAGACAGATTACTGCAACACCAGTGATGTTGCATAATTTTCTCTCATACAGCGCCATATAAAGGGTAAAGACAAAAGAAAATGTAACATTCTTTTTTGCAAGAAACTTCCGATATATTCATCTTCAATCATGGCAATGCAACGAACATTGGAAGTAATAAAAATTATATCCAGATCCATAGACCACCTAGCGATGACTACAAGCACTGAAGCGAGCCGAAGGCCCATGCCGCCATCATCGTCCCTCCCTCGCCGGAGTCGGGTAAAACTTGTTATAGTAGACAGTCGGAAAGTCGTCGTGCTAAGGTAAGGTCCCATAGGACCATCGCAGCAGAACATCAACCACCACCGATGAAGAGTAGTGAAGAAAATGTAACATTAGCTCTATTGCAAAAAGATTCTGCACCAATACCTATGTTGCAAAAGTTATGTGACATGAACTCTGTTGCAAATGCCCGAGTTCAACATCATCCTTGTTGCAAAGCTGGTATGAAATCTAATGGCTCGCCAGGCGGCGTATTTTTTGAAGAAGAAAACGAAGGCGTTTGTTAGCAGCAAAGGTGGTGGCGCAGATTTGGTACACCAAAACAGGCAGCGACGGATGCAACGGAACGGCAGTGAGATCTGCAGGCAAAATTGAATCCGGCGGTTGCCACGCTCGCCTCGTGAACCGGCGGGCCCACCTCTCTCTCTCTCCCTCCCTCCCTCTCTGACAGGTCGCGCGTCGCGCAGCAATCCGTTCCCCCAAACCAAAGCAAAAGCCCCCGCCGGAGC